CCACTGCTGCTGCTGGGTTGATCTATTAGGGTACCTTCCGTGTTCCTGTAAAGTGAAAAAGTGAAGCAATTCCTGGAAAATGGCTCTTTGGACAAGTGATCTCAGCTGTCTTGCATCCGTTTCTTCTGACTTGGTGCTGACTGATCCTGTACCTGATGGAACATGGAGATTCAAGAGAAATACATGAGTGAATTAATGCCAGGAGCAAAGACAAGGCAGTGGACCAAAAAGGAGGAAGCAATTGTTAAAATACAAGCTTCAACTATCTCAGCAGTTATGGATAGCTAGCAGAAAGTGCTGTGTAATGTGCTGATATGTGCTTTGTCATGTCTCTGGAAGCTTCTCCTAACATTTGAGACCTTTTAGAGATTTTCTCTCGACCAGATCATAATTGCTAAAATTTTCAGCCAGGCTTTTGGAAAGACTGCTTGTTCTCTTGCATGCTTTGAACAGCAAGGGGGAGTGTTCTTGTCCCTCTGATTTTGTTTTGTTTCCTACATCTCATTGGGAAGACTGAATGCTGCAATTGGGGATCGTTAGCCATGTGTTAGGAGCTTTGCCTGGCGACAGCATGTCATGAGTGGTGGTCACTCCAAAAGCAGACTTTGCAAAGGCTGCATGGGGCTCCTTGGGAGTGACAGTGCAGTCCTCTGAAGAGGGAATTGCAAGCTGCCCAACAGGCTTTGATACAAGGTGAATGGACTCAGGCATCATAAATCCTCTGAGATGCCTCCAGGTGAAGTTTATTACTGAGAAGGATGACTAAGGAAAATTATTTGAAAGTCTTTATTTGTGGCATGGGTCTTAATACTGGTTGGCTTTTTCTCTGTGCTAGAAAGGAGACAAGCAAGTATTTTCTTGTGGTGACCTTAAGCTTTTCTCAGTATTTCTAAAGCTGCCTCTTCCTTAACTATGTACAAGTATAAACAGGTGCTTGTTTGGTCTCTCCCATCATATCAGACTTTTAAGATTCAGAAATCACCACTTTTTTTTTTTTTTTTTAGTGTAATGTCCTCTGTGTTGCTCGTACATAATTTATAGAATATGAAGAGGTTCTCCCATTTGGGATCAGTACTTGCCCTTCTTACCTATTGAAAGAGATGAGTGCTGCCTCAGAAATTTGCCCACTCACAGAAATCAATGCACAGCATCCATTCTGAATTCCAAATTAACCTCAAATGCCATGGTTGAATTCTGGTGGACTTGATGGGGGTTTGTTAAGGCAAGGGTCCACTACAAACTGTACTTCAGCTGCTGTTGTAGGCAAACCAGGGTGAAATTGTACCATCTGCAGTCACCAAATATTTCATCTGAACAATGCAAAACAGCTTAGGGAATGTGCTGCCACAGGATTTCTTAGCAGCCAGTAATTCTGTGTGGTTCAACAAAGAGAGCATGTACAGGAAGAACAGGAAAATCCAGTCAGAGTAAAGGTTGGGAAAGAATTTGAGATTTCTTAGCTCAAGGCATGAACAAAGATTATGGTAGAGCAATAGTATAAACTATCCCTGTGGGCAAGGACATGTTCTGTAGGGTTTCTGTCTGTCTGGGATGCTCTGGAAGAGGTCTGGAGACAGACCGTGGTGCAAGGACACAGCCTGCTGGACTGCACCGATGGCAATCTCCTCCCCACCCTGTATTCTCCAGAGGCAGCTGCACCTGAACTCACCTGCCTGGCCTGGAGATGAGGAAGATAGATGAAAAGCAAAGGACAGCAAGTGAGCACAGATCCTAAGTAATGTTATCAAGAGAAGGGATGAGAGCTGTGTTTGGCTGTGGATGAGCTCAACCAGGTCTCCCCAAAGGACAGAATCCAGAGCAGGAGACACTGAAGGAACCCCGAAAGGCCAGGAGAAAGTACTGGTTAGGAAACCACTGGATGATAAGTCTCTGGAGAGCACAAGGATATTCAAAGCAGCAGAGAAATCAGAAAAGAGCAGAGCCACCTCCTTCGAGGAGGTACTTGAAAGGGGGGCAAAAGCCAAGGAGAGGTGACTCAGGGCATAGCAGAAGGAGACTGCACCCTGCTGAGGAAGGCAGCAGTACCTCTGGAAATGCAGAGAGGCCTGCTAGGACAGCTACCTACAGCTTTCTGTTCCTCAAACTGCTCCTCTCTGACAGGACAAAGAGGGAAACCTGATGCTACAAGGTTTCCCTAGCCACTAATCACACAAATTCTATAGCTCAAGTTGGTGGCGCTTGTTTGTGCTTGACGGGCAGTGCAGGGCTTTCCGGTGGGTTGAGCACTCCTCCAGCTGCTGCCTTTGCAGCACAGCACCATGGGCTTCTTCATGCTGCTTACCCAGCTGTCCCCAAGTTGGACCATGTAGAGGAAATTATGCAGAGTTCAGATGTGGAGCCATCCTTCTGTGCTGACTTCCTGAAGGCAGGAAAATCCAGGTTACTAACGGTGGAGCCAACTTCGGAAAGGTCCATCGCACAATGCTCCTAATGACTCAGAAGTGTCGCTTGCTGATGTTCCCAAGTCAGCACAGCTCCCTGCTTGCTACCCGTTAGTTTGCCTAGTCGACAGTAGACACAGAGCTGACTGAAGCCAGTGGAGCTGGACAGAGTTTCAGTGTGTCCTAGTGCTCCAGTGTGCTTGCAGGGGCTGAGCCAAGCCTCTCCAGCAAAGCTAGAGTGCTTCCACCACTCTCCTGATCCATCCTTGGCTGTAGCTAAGCCAGTTTCTGAAAGCCCTGTGTTGAAATGAGCAGTGCTTTTTAGATTACAGAGTTGTCAGTTAAGAAGTAAATCATCTGGGAAGCATTTCTACTCACCTGCCTGCCTGGGCAATTCTTCACCAGTGTGTCTGAAGGTGTCCCGAAGGTGTCTTGCCACAGTTTTCTCCATGCTGACCATCTTGCATGCCAGTGACAGTGCTCAGTGACAGACGGTCACGAGGTGCAGGGATGTCATTCAAACCCCTTTTTGCTCACCTCAGTTTTCCGTGAACCTCCTCCAGATGCTGCAGATCTGGTGACTTCATCTCCAGGAATTCGAGAGTCCATGCAGAATCATAGAATCAGAGTGGTTTGGGTTGGCAAGGACCTTGAAGATCATCTAGTCCAACCTCTCTGCCATGGGCAGGGACATCTTTCACTTGATCCAGTTGCTTTAAGCCTTGTCCAAACTGACTTTGAACACTTCCAGTGATGGGGCATCCACAGCTTCTCTGGGCAACCTGCTCCAGGGGCCACTACTCTTTCTCCTCTTTATTAATGACCTGGATGATGGGTCAGAGTGCACCCTCAGCGAGTTTGCAGATGATCAAAAACTGAGAGGAGTGGCTGATACACCAGAGGGTTGTGCTGCTGTTCAGAGGTGACTGGCCAGGCTGGAGAAATGAGCCTCATGAAGTTCAACAAAGGGATGTGCAAAAAGTCCTGCACGTAGGGAGGGTAAACCCCAGGCACCAGAACATGCTGGAGGTGTGACAACCAGCCAGCCATGTCCTCAAAACTTTCTGGCCTTTGCTGCCTTCAGGAATCGTGGCCCCTGAGGCCAGAGGGAGTGGCTGGGGTGAGGAAGAGTTCCCCCTGGGAAGGGAGAACAGGTTTGAGGAACATTTAAACAAACAGGACAGGCACAAGTCCCTGGGAGCAGATGGGATACCCCCGGAGTGCTGAGGGAGCAGGCTGAAGTCCTTCTGAGACCATTCTCCATCACCTGTGTAATTACGGCCATGGTGATGGGGAGAGGTTCCTAGGGACTGGCAGAAAGCAAGTGTCGCTGCTATCTTCAAGGAGGGCGAGCAGGAGGATGCAGGGAACTACAGGCCAGCCAGCCTCAACTCGATCCCTGGGAAGGTGATGGAGCAAGTAATCCTGGAAACCATTTCCAGACACATGGAGGACAAGGCGGCCATCAGGAGTAGTAGATTGTCATGGCTTTATGACGGGGAGATAATGCTGAAGCAACCTGATACAGTACATGCCAGAGGCTGACCGACCAGCTGGAAAGCAACTTGGCAGAGAAGGCCCTGGAGGTCTCCTGGTGGACACCAAGTTGGACATGAGGCATCAGTGCACCCTTGGGGCAACAAAGGCCAAGAGCCTCCTGGGCTGCATTAGGGAGAGTGCTGCCAGAGGGTGGAGGGAGGTGATCCTTCCCCTCCCCTCAGCTGTGATAAGGCCACCCCCAGTGCACCATGTCCAGTTCTGGGCCTCCCAGTACGAGAGAGACATGGACATACTGGAGCAAGTGCTGCAAAGGGCCACAAAGATGACAAAGGGACTGGAGAAACAGTCCTGGGAGGCTGGGGGTGGCTCTGCTCATGGTGGGAACCTCCAGATTCCTGGGGCCTGGCAGCTCCCGTGCTCACAGAGAGGCTTTGAATGGAGAGATGTCCCCAGATGGGGAGGCTGCTTTGTGGGCTGGAGGGTGATGACACCATGAACTGGGGGAGGTCCCTTGCAGGGGTTCTCCATGATGGGAGCTCTGCAAGGAAAGAGGGAGCCAAGAGAGGCTTTTATTAGCAGCCCCCTGAAGTCGAGGGGGCCCCAAAACTGCATGTGGGTGCCAAGTGCTTGGCAGCCTAGGTGCCCGAGGGCAGGAACCAAGAGACCCAGCAGGTCCAGAGCAGTTCGGCAGCTGAGAGGCTCTGGCGGGCTGGGCACAGCAGGCGCAAGATCACCTCCTGGGGGGACATGGGGGTCAGGGTGGGGCCTGGGGGAAGCCCAACGTCTGGGAGACCCCTGCACACTCCCACCCCAACGTCCTGGCCCCTGGTGCCCCAGCTGCCCCCAATGCTCCTCAATGCCCCCTAGCTCCTCTACTGCTCCCACGGCCCCCACAGTGCCCTCCAGCTCTCCCCTGATGACCCCCAGCTGCCCCTACCTGCCCGTCTGGGAGACCTGCACACTCCCACCCCAACGTCCTGGCCCCTGGTGCCCCAGCTGCCCCCAATGCTCCTCTACTCGGCCCCCACAGTGCCCTCCAGCTCTCCCCTGATGACCCCCAGCTGCCCCCTGCCCCCCCCAGCACCCTCCCCATGCCCTTCAAAGTTCCCCATGTCCTCTCAGGGGAAAGACAGGGCGCCGCTGGGTCTGGTGCAGGAGGCGCCGCAGATGGCTGGCATCAAAGGGCATGCAGCCCAGGAGCAGGGCATAGAGGATGACCCCGGCGCTCCAGGTGTCTGCCAGGAAGTGGTCGTAGGGCTGTGCCTGCAGGATCTCGGGACAGGCGTAAACATAGGACCTGCAGAAGGTTTGGCTCAGCACTGCCTTGGTGGGCAGCCCCACATGTGGCATCCTGCAGGGCCACCGTCCTGGAGAAGCTGGAGATGGAGACCTTCACGTTTTCCTCGCTGTCCAGGAGAAGGTTTTCCAGCTTCAGGTCCCTGCGGGGGGAGAGGCAGCACATGCTGGGGGCAGGCAGGGGCAGATGACAGCTGTAGCCAAGGAGGGAGCTGTGGGTAGATGAGGGGCCGGGGGCTCCTCTGGGAGGAGGAGGGCTTGGACTGGGAGCTGTGGGGCAGGTGGCTGTGTAGAGGGAGGGTAGGTAAGGGTGCCTCCTTTGCCATGTGGAGGCAAAGAGGGTCTTCCAGGAGGCCCTCCATTGCCTGGGCTGGGGGGAATGATCCTCCAGGCAGCATGGCCGGAGCCCTGCAGAGCCCTCACTGCCTCGGGGAGCTCTGCCCCCAGCTGCCAGAGCGGGGACCTTGTGCCCCCGTGCTCACGCACCAGTGGACAATGGCCCTGCTGTGCAGGTAGGCCAGGGTGAAGAGCAGCTGGGAGAACCAGAGCCCTGCCTGGCCCTGGGAGCAGGGCCCCTGGCCCTGCACCTGCTCCAGGATGCTCCCTGAGGGGGCCAGCTCCATGAGGAGGTGGAAGCCCGTCCTGGTCTCCATGCCTTGGTACAGCCTGATAAGGTGCTTGTGGCACAAGCCCTTCAAGACCTGTGGGCAGCAGGGTCTTGACGTGGGACAGGCCTGCCCCCCTCTGGCCCCCCTTTGCCTTGCACACCCACCCCTTTTGCCCACCAATGCTCCCCTAACCCCTGGCAGCTCCCCACAAAGTGCCCACCATGGCTGCCATCCTCCTGGAGCTCCCACCGCCAATAGCTCCCTGCCCCTCTGAATTCCTGCCCATTGCCCCCCGGTGCCCCCAGTGCCCCCCTACCCCATGGACTCCCCCAACCACTCCCTGCCCCTTCGACCCCTCCAACACCCCTGCCCCGTTGAGCCTCCCAGTAGCACCACTGCCCATGAAGCTCCCCAAAGGGTGCTCCCCCTGCCCTCCTTAGCCCCTGATGCCCCAGGGACCCTCCGATGCCCCCCCTTGCCCCGCAGCATTTCTTGATGCTCAGGGGGTCCCCCCACTGCCCCCTGCCAATGCCACCTGCTTGCCCTGCCTACACCTGATGGGGCAGGAGCTTCCTGAGGTCTTCCTCCAGCGCCTTCCTTTTGGAGATGACCTTGATGGCCACCTTGTGCCACAGTGCGGGGGCTGCACCCTCATACACCTCCTAGTAAGCACCGTGAACCAGCAGTGCCCTGAGCTGAGAGCCCGTCTTCCCCAGCACCAGGACAGTCTCGGGGTGGGGGGTGCCTCTGCCATGCCTGTGGGCAGCACAGCTTGGGAGGGGTCAAGCAAGGCTGGGTGAACCCAGCTGGAACCAAGCACCCCCAAGACCTCTGTGTCCTTCCTGGCCCCCAGCACCCCTCGCCCTCCTCTGGGCAAACTCCTGCTCAGGGTTCGGCCCCCAGTGCAGCTCATGCCAAGGCCTGGCGAGTGCCAGCAGCAGCCACCCACCCACTGATGACCCACCGAGGTGGGGTGACAAGGAGGGCAGCCGGGATGGCTGCGGGGCACAGTGGGCAGGAGCAGACAAGATCCCTCCTCTCCTGCAGCCTTGCAGCAGTAGCTAGCCAGTCATTTCTGAGAAAGCTCCTCCGAGCCCCTCCAGAACATGGGCCCCCCCCACATAGCCATGGCCGAGACGCAGCCTCCCAGCTGGAAGGTCAAATACCTGAGCTGGCCTAGAAGAGCCCATGGAGCAGCAGCAGCAGCAGCAGAAGAGCTGAGGTCCCCAACGTGTGCTGCCCAGGCCGCAAGAGGGGACAACAGTCGAGCACTCTTGCTTGAGGAGGGACGACACACGAGCCCTCTCGCTGCCTGCCCTGGGCCGAGAACCCCACGCCCTGGAGCCATCACAGTTCCCCCCCTTGTCATGCATCAGCTGCCATGGAGATGGCAGCTGGGAGGGGGTCCCCAACTCCGGCTGTGGGGGGAGTGCTGCCAGCAGCCCCAGCCTGGGGGATGCAGAGCTCGCTCATTGGGGCTGCAGGGGCTGGACCCTGACGTGTCCTGGGCTGAGAGGCTGGGCAGGTGGCAGCAAAGGGCTTTCTGGTGAAACCTCTTCCAGAGCTCTTTGGCAAGCTTGGAAAACTACAGTTTTGCTCTTTGCAACACTCCCTGCTCTGGGCGAGCACATCTTTCACAACCAAGACTAGGCTGGAAATTGAGACTGGCACGGGGCGGGTCTCGCTGCTTGTGTGCTTGCACTGGACGTGCAGAGCACCTGCTGGAAAAGGCAGCTGCTGAGCGGCTGAGGCAGCAGGATGCAACTCCTCTGCTGGCAGGTTCAGGAAAATTAGGCCCAAACACCAGCTGCTTGGCACTGGGAGGAATTCGGGGGCCAAATAGCAGCTTGGTGAAGCTGAGCTCCTCCAGGACGAGGTGCCAGCGGAACTGCAAGGAAAGCCAATCCAGAACTCAGTGTGACAACTTATGAGAGGGAACGGTGATAGCCACGAACTCTTCAAGCAAGTGGCTTTTACCTGCTCACACTGGCGCACTGCCCTGCTTACAAGCACCCAGATGGTTGTGCCGGTGCTCTGGCCAGGGTCACTTGTGCATGACACGGGAGAGGGACAACAGCAACCAGGGCCTTGCTTTGCTCCTGGGGAACCTTTTGAGTGCCGATGGCTGTCAAGCCAATGATGATGATGGTAAGCACACTGACAATAAGCTGTTGAACTGATCTAATAGTCTCAGGGAATTTTTTTCCCCATGTGCCACGCCAGGTTTGTTCACCTGATGACTTTGAAAATACTGTGCTTCTGCTGAAGCACCTCTGACAGCCCAGCGCCCCCCTTCACTCCCCACTGATGCACCAACCACGTCCTGTCGGAGAGTGCACCCTGTGCAGAGTGGCTGTGTAGGGCCGAGGACCCAGTACAGCTTTCCCAGTAACAAGTCCACAGTACACACCACAACGCAGGCTGTTGAAGTCAGGGTGATACTTACCACTGGCTTGGCTAAAGTGAATGGCAGCTCTTGCACCTCTTACAACAGGCCAGCAGCCACCATCTTAAACACGCTGACAATAACCTTTTGGACTGACCTTAGACCTCTAGGCATCATGAGCCCTAACGGGGTGGCCCTTTGCCAGCAGGTCCTGCTCAGCTCAGGTCCATGAACTTGAGGGCAGCTTGCTGCCTGCTGGTTGCTTTTCCCCACGTTGAACATCAGCTTGAAGGCAATGCCTGCAGGCTGTTCTCCTGCTGCGAGGATGCAGGGCCATCTGCCAATGAGTTGTCCAAGTTGCCCCATGCAAGCAGGGAAGCATCCCGGGACCCATGTCCCAGGAACAGCCTTCTCCATTACCAGCGCTGCTCTGGCTGCGCTGGGCCTTGCAGTGCTTTCACACACACGTTTCCATCCACCAGCTTGCACTGAGCCCATTATTTCCATCAACAGCCTCCCCAAAGCCGTGCCTCAGAGCACCAACGCACCTGCCCCGCAAAGGTGGGGCGCAGCCCCTGGGGCCAGCTCAGGCTGTGGGGGCTCTTCCTCCCCAAGTGATGCAGGGGAGAGCTGCGCAGGACGCGGCAGGAGAAGGACCCCCTGCACTCTTACTCCCGCCCTCCGGGAGGCATGTGCACGCAGCAGGGACCCGGGAGCCCCGGGCAGCTACTCGGCGCCTCCCCCCCGTGGCCGGGCGCCTGCCAGCGCCGGGGCTCCCGTGGAGATCTGCCGGGGCTCCCGTGGAGATCTGCCCCTGCTCGCAGGCCCCTAGAGCCACTTCCC